CCCTGTCCTTTCTCCACTGAATCATCTTGGCACCTGTGTAAAAAAGAAATCATTTGACCAAATTCATGAGAGTTTGTTTCTTCCCTCTGTGTTCTGGTCCATCAGTCTCTGTGTTTGTCTTTATCCAGTACCACACTGGTCTGGTTGCTGTTGCTTTACAGTAAGTTTTGAAAATTGAAGTTTTGCTAGGCGTGGTGGCTCATGCCTGTAGTCCCAGCACTTTGGGAGGCCAGGGCGGGTGGATCACCTGAGGTCAGGAGTTCGAGACCAGCCTGACCAACATGTCGAAACCCCGTCTCTACTAAAAATACAAAAATTAGCTGGGTATGTTGTTGGGCACCTGTAATGCCAGCTACTTGGGAGGCTGACGCAGGAGAATTGCTTGAACCTGGGAGGAAGAGGTTGCAGTGAGCTGAGATCGTGCCATTGCACACCATCCTGAGCAGCAAGAACAAAATTTTGTCTCTAAATAAACTAAATGGGAGGTTTGAGCTTTCCAACCATGTTCTTGTTTTTCAAGATTGTTTTGAATATTTGGGATTTCTTGAGATTCCATGTGAATTTTAGGATCAGCTTGTCAACTTCATCCAAGAAGCCAGCTAAGGTTCTTAAAGGGATTGTGTTTTCTAATCTGTGAACATGGGATATCTTTCTATTTAGGTCTTAAAATTTGTTTCAGCAATGTTTTGTAGATTTTAGAGCATGAAGTTTGTATTTTTTTGTTAAATTTATTAAGTGTTTTCTTTTTTCTGATACTGTTGTAAGTGGAATTTTCTAGAAATTGTTTCAGGTTGTTACAAGTGTATGAAAATACAAGAGATTTTTGTATGTTAATCTTGTATTCTGCAACCTTGCTGAACTGATTTATGAATTCTAATAGTTTTAGTAGAATCTTTAGGATTTTTTATGTACGGAATCATGTCATATGAATAGAGATCATTTTTCTTCCTTTCAGATATGGATGCTTTTAATTTCCTTTTCTTGCCTGGTTGCTCTGGCTAGCCCTCAGTACAGTGTTGAACAGAAGTGGCAAGAGCCGGGATTTCCAGCTCTCTGCTGGAATCCCCTCCCACATAGTGGGGGCTAAAAAAAAAAAAAAAAGTGGCAAGAGAAGACATCTTTGTTTTGTTTCTGGTCTTAGGGGGAACCATTTGGCCTTTCGCCATGGAAGTGTGCTGTTAGTTGTGGGGTTTTGTATACCCCTTAGGTTGAGGGGCTTCCCTTATATTCCTTGGTTGTTGAATATTTTAGTTTACTTTTAACCATATACAGATATATTACTTTCCAGTTAGAGTAGTCAGTTAAGTAGTCAATATTTTTAGACAAAATACATAGTTCTACACTGCATCTTTGGGTCAACGATGGACCAGTGGTCCCATAAGATTATAATACAGTTTTTTTGCTGTATCTTTTCCTGTGTTTAGATACATATAGTTACTTATAGTATTCAGTACTGTAACATGCTGTACAGGTCTGGAGCCGAGCAGCAGTAGGCTGTACCATAGAGCCGGGGTGTGTAGTAGGCGCTACCATCTAGGTGTGTCTAAGTGCAGTCTAGAATGTTCACACAATGGTGAGATCACCTAATGATGCATTTTTCAGAATGTACCCTCATTGTTAAAGCCTAATTTTAATGTTACTTTGCTTACCCCTTCCCCAGTTGATCAACACATAGATTGCCTGGGTTTTCTTCATGGTCACAAGGTGTGTGTTAGTCAACATTCAGCCAGTATTTTTGGAGGAGCTATGAGTGCCTGGTGGTGCTCTCAGGGCTAGGGATAGCAAAAGTCAGCCATCTCTACCTTCCTGGAGTTTCTATTTGGAGGGAGAGAGTAGTGTGAAGCCTTCTGTCCAGAGGGTGGGTCTGCTGGTGGGAAGGCCTGTCACTCTGGTGACAGTGGGAGGTGATGGCTAGGAGGTGACGTGAGAGCAGCTGAGCGGATCTGTCTGCTCAGCCCACTTCCCCAGGGCCTACCCTGCGTGGATGATTTGGGGACGAATCTCTCCTTACAGCTGCATTCAGTCCCTGCGCACTCGTGTTCTCGCTGTTGGCTCAGAACTCCCTCTCCCAGCCTCTCCTGGTGTCGTCACGCCCGAGGCTCCCTGCTGGTCACTCCAGCCCACTCTCCTTGGGCTGATCCTGGGCTGCAGGGAACCAGATGGTTGTTGGCTGGTCTGTCCCACACAGCTAACTGACGAGGTGGTTTCTGGGGCAGGAGTGGAGGCAGCACAGACAGTGAGGACGAAGAGGAGGAGGAGGAGGAGGAGGAAGACGAGGAGGGCATTGGCTGTGCAGCCCGTGGAGGGGCCACCCCGCTGTCCTACCCCAGCCCCGGTCCTCAGCCTCCAGGTAAATGAACAGGCGGTGTGGTCAGGTGTCCACAGGGTGTCAGCCTGCTGCCAAGCTCACCCTCTCTTCTGCCCCCCTACCTCTACCCCAGGCCCCGGCTGGACGGCCACCTTTGACCCAGTGCCTATGGATGCCCTGACCAGCCCCCGAGTCTCCGGGGAGGAAGAGCTGCACACTGGGCCTCCAGCCCCACAGGGACCCCTCATTGTGCCCCAGGGCTTCCCCACCCAGAGCCTGGCCAGCCCTCCAGCTCATGATGCCCTGCAGCTCAGGTGAGAACCAGATGGGACGGGCTGGATGGTGCTGGTATCAGGAGGCCAGGAGGTGGTCATGGCATCCTAGTGCTCTTGTAGGCCTGAGCGCTGACCCTAGCTGCCCCCTTGGGCTGCCTCTCTCGCCTGCCAGGTCTCAGGACCCCACAAACCCCTCAGCACCTCAGGAAGCCATGGACGGCAGCAAAGTCGTGGAGCCTTCAGGTAAGCCCCTTTTTGCCCTGCCCTCCTGTGGCCCTGGGCAGAGAGAGCAGCCTGGTCAGCTCTGAGCTTGCTGGGAGGCTGCGGCTGAGAACTCTCATCCCCCACAGCCCCCTGCCAGGCCTTGGTCAGCGTCGGGGACCTCCAGGCTACCTTCCACGGGATCCGTTCTGCCCCCAACTCCTCGGACAGGTGAGCAATGAGGTGGGGCTTGCTATGGGGAGGGGCTGCTATCAGAAGTCTTTTCTCCTCCTCAGTGAGGTGGGCTTGGGTTTGTCTTGTCCCTGAGCTGTTCCAGGTCATCCTTGCAGGACCCCAGGCCCAGCCTCACGTCGTGCCCCAGCCCCCTGCGCTCTGCAGGCTGGTTCTTCTCTTAGTAGCCTGGGATGCTTAGGGCCCCCAGGGTTGGGAAAGGCTCCCTGGAGGGTGTGAAGGATTGGGAAGGTGAGAGCATGCAGGAGGCCCCTTGGGGCTGTCTCAGCCGGCCTTGACCACCTCTTCCACAGGGACAGGAACATGAAGGGAGGTGCTTGTCCTCTTGCCCAGGGCTGTGCAGTCCCTCCACACTGAGCCAGCTGCTTCCTCGGGAGGCCCCTTATGGTGGGGCAGGTGGCAGACACCCAGTGAGCCAACTGAAATTGGCACGGGTGTGAGGGTGTCGGCAGGTGACGCTGACAGCCTCACCTGCTTCTCACCCACAGTGCAACCAGAGACCCCTCTACCTCTGTCCCAGCCTCCGGGGCCCACCAGCCCACAAAGACCACAGATGGGGAGAAGAGCCCAGAGCCCTTGGGGCTTCCCGAAAGCCAGAGGTGAGTACCAGGGCAGCGGGGCGGGGCGGGGCAGGGCAAGGCTGGCGGGCAGGAAGTGACCCCTGCACATCTCCTCCCTCCCATGACAGTGCCCAGGCCCTCACGCCTCCTCCAGTGCCCAATGGCTCTGCCCCGGAAGGGCCTGCATCACCGGGCTCCCAGTGAGTGTGGCTGCAGCCTGGGGCTGGGCAGGTGGGGCTGGGCCTGCTGGACCCTCACACGACATCTCTCTCTGTTTGCAGATAGCTGCCTGGTGTGGCAGCAGCTGCCAAATCTTCCGTCCTCCCGTGGATCTCCCAGGGTGGGGGCAGGGCGGGTCCCATGATGGCCCCCATTGCCCTCATCACCCTGACCCCCCCCACATTCTCTCCTTTGGACCCCCAGGAGGCCGGTGCCAGGGAGACAGGCCCAACCCACCCCCATTTGCACTGAGAAGAGAAGTTTTGGAGCATTGCCTCCTAGAATAAAGTTAAAGAGAGTCAAATAGAGAGAATGGAGAGAGAGAAATGTCTATTATATATTATATATAGAGAGAGGGAGGAGAGCGAGAGAAGGTGAGAACACCAAGCTGGGCTGGCGGCTCCCAAAGCACAGCTTCCTGTCCTGTCCCAGCAGGGGCTGGTGGTAGGGGTCCAAGGTTGCCGCCCATGTGCCCAGCCGTCCTATGCTCAGGCACAGATGGCCATGCCCACACCCGGCCTTTCAGCTCAGGTCCACCATGGGGGACGGCCCAGCGAGGGTGGGGGTGCCAGAGGGTCCCGAGTGGGGGCCGTGCCTTTGCCCAGACCCTGCACTTTCAACCAGGCCAGTCTGGCTCTGGGGAGCAGGGGCCTCCCCGGCAACACCCCCAGAGAACCTGAGGGTCTGGAGTCCCAGCCCTGTTGCCAAGTGGCCTTGTCCAAGCTCCTTCCTCCCAGGCTGGTGTGAGTGTGTGTGCGTTCGTGCCGAGCTTCTATTTCATATTGCAAATATAAATAAAGGAAGACAGTTTACGATTCTGCTGGTCAGACCGTACATTCTGGGATGCGGGGTGGACAGGCTGTGTTATCCCGGTACCCCAGCGGCTAGTATTCCTAACTCAGTCTGCCCCCACACCGTGTCCTGCCAGAGGGAGCCCTGTGGCTGCAGAGGCCACAGGCTGGGCCAGGCACTGGCTGTGATGGCTCCTGCCAAGCCTACCCCACTTGTGGGCAGGGCCGTGGGCGGAGGATAGAAGCCGCCATCGGGGGCTCAAATCCCTGCTCCTACCCCCCTTTGGTAACCAAGCCCAGCATTGAGGCTGGGCACTGGCGCCCAGTAGGTCTGAGTCTTTGAGGCAGAAGGTGAAAGTGTAGGCCGGTGCACAGCGATTGGCACGGGAGCGGTGCCAGGAGGGCTCTGTCTCAGCTACACTGGACCATGTGGGCTGGGTCATGAGGACAGCGTCCTCACTTGGGTGGCAGCTGATTTGGAGGTCACCTAGGGCTGTCTCAGCTACCAGGAGAGGGTGCTTATTCCCTGCATTCTTGGGGCCCCTTCCTTGTGGTCCACTGAGGAAGTGTTTGTGGTGGAGCCCCTGAGGGCCTGGTGGGGTTGAGCAGAATGAGGGAAGGTTTCATGGAGCAGGGAAGGGTCCGCTAGGCCAGCAAGTGAAGGAGGGACTCGCCTTCCCATCCGCCCAGGGGTGTTCCTACCAGCCAGCCCCCTCCCCCGCTTCCCCATGAAGGGGTGGCTGTCGGAATTCTGCACTCCATCTCTTGTGATGGTCTGGGCCCAGGACAATGGGATGGGTGTTTGGGGACCTCACCCCCCAGCAGACAGGAGGAGGAAGCCATGTCCCAGCAGGCTAGGATAAGGGACCCCCTATGCCAACAGTGCCTTATCAACAGGTGCCAGGCAAGGCCATCCCCGGGGTGAGGGCGACATCTCCCCGGGCCCTGTTATCAGTTGCAGAGTCCACAGGACGCTCACTGGGTTAACGTGTAACCATGAGCCCTCCCTTCCACCCCCTGGAGCCACCCGCTTTCAGATTAGGTCACCCTGAGGGTATCAGGCCAGCATGGATGCTGGCAAAGTGGGGCCGACCCTGAAGACTCACTGCTCAGCCCAGGTGAGAGCCTTTGAAGCCATGCCTGGGGCTGGGGGATAGGGCCCCAGAACCCCAGCAGCTAGGGGCTCTGGGAGGTGCTGCCCTTGAATTGGCTGGGGTCCTGGGAAGCTGGGTTCTGGCAGCCTGGTCCCTGAACGGGGGCTAGGCTGGGTTTCAGCTCAGCAGCTCCCTGCTTCCCAAAGTGCCTAGATGTCTGCAGGTGGCTGATTCCCTTCATCCTTTCCTGCTGCGTGTACTTCTGCCTCTGGATTCCTGAGGACCAGCCGTCCTGGGTCGCTGCGCTGGTCAAGTGCCTGCCCATCTTCTGCCTGGCTGGGTTCCTGTGGGTTGTGTCCCCAGGCAGGGGCTACACCCGGCTCCTCCAGGGAGCCCTCCTGTGCTCGGCTGTGGGGGACGCCTGCCTCGTCTGGCCTGAAGCCTTCCTCCATGGTGAGTGGAAGCTGCCATGACGCCTTTCAGATGCCCATGTCGGGGAGGCCCAGCATTTGGATGGGAGCCTGGAGTGCAGAGGGCTCTGGTGGGCACTTTGGTGGGAGTTCCGGTGGTCAGAGGCATTGGGGGCGCAGCTGTGGCTCACGTTCCAGTGAGGGCTGGTGGGCAGGTGGTATTAAGGCAGTAGCTGAGGGTGGCGTGGAGGACAGTGAGGACCCTGGGCTGGAGGTGCTGCAGTTTGAAGCAGGGTTGCTGAGGAAGGCTTCACTGAGGAAGTCACATTTGGGCAGACCTGAAGAAGGTGCCATGTGTCTTTGTGAGGGCCAAGGGCAAGTGCAGAGGCTCCAGGGCAGGGGGCATGCTAGGTGCTTGTGGCCAAACAGGCCAGGGTGGCTGGTGGGCCGGAGGGCATGGGGCCTTCTGGCAATTCAGAGCAAAGCAAGTACACGACACTGCATTTACGGAGGCCTGCAAGGAGGCTCAGCCAGGGTGGAGCTGGTGCTTTGGGCTGATCCTTCCCCCTAGGTCCTGAGGGGTGACCTTGGGGCGATACCAGAATGAGCCTTCCTCACCGACACCCCACCCCTCTCCCCAGGTATGACTGCCTTCGCTACAGCCCACCTCCTCTACCTCTGGGCCTTTGGGCTCTCTCCCCTGCAGCCGGGCCTGCTGCTGCTCATCTTCCTGGCCTCTGGCCCCTACCTCATCCTCGTGCTGCTGCACCTCGAGCCGGATATGGTCCTGCCCGTGGCAGCCTACGGGTTGATCCTGATGGCCATGCTGTGGCGTGGCCTGGCCTGGGGCGGGAGTGCCGGCTGGGGCGCGCTGCTCTTCACACTCTCTGATGGTGTGCTGGCCTGGGACGCCTTTGCCCATCCCGTGCCTCACGCCCACTTGGTGACTATGACCACCTACTACACTGCCCAGCTCCTCATCACACTGTCGGCCCTCAGGAGCCTGGGGCCCAAGACAGACTGACTAGGCAGCTTGAAGGGCTGGCTTTCAGGCCCTCTCCTCCCGCAAGGACTCTGTCCTCCCAGACCAAACCAGCCTGAGAAACATCCTCCGCGGCGAAGCTTCCTCACGCCTGTCTGCAGGTGCAGGCCCCGCCGCCGCTGCTCCCAGCTGAAGACGTTTAAGGACCATTCACGGAGTTCCGAGTCCACTGCTGGTTTCCAGCTGCCTTCCCCTAGTTCTGACTCCAGATCCCTGGCTCCTCAGCCAGGCCCACATGCGGCCCTCCCAGCCACCAGCCCGCCTCCAAGTTCGTTGTGGGCCCCACGGTCCGCCAGCCCCTCCCTGCTGCTCTGAGTCGTTTTCGTTGTTTAGTAGAGGGCATGGTAGTGTAGATGCTGCTGTTACTGTGGGAGAGGCATGCGGACAATGATCGTGGTGATGAACCATCTTGGCTCATGGCAGCGGATGTCTCTTGGTCACTCCCCATGAACCAGGCCTGGTGCCCAGTGGGACCCTCCCTGGCTCTCTGGTGGGGGGCATTCGAGGGGATAAAGGTGAGGATTGTGCAGAACCGAGCCAAGAGGACTGTTGAGCCTCTGCGTTTGTTTCCTGGGGCTGCCATCACAAATTACCCCAAACCAGATGCCTTGAAATGACGAATGGGCTCTACTGCAGTTCTGGAGACCCAAAGTCCAAGATCAGGGTGTTTTCCGGCCCTTGCTCCCTCCTGAGGCTCTGGGGAAGAATCCGTCCTTGCCCTCTCAGCTTCCGGAAGCTCCCAGGAATCGCTGGCTTCTCTCGGCCTGTGGCGGCTGTGTGTCTCCCGTCTTCATATGACTGTCTTTACCTGGCAGCCTCCTCTGTGTCTGCGTCCTTCTAGGGACATGGGGCACTGGATTTAGGGCCCACCCCAAACCCAGGTGATTCCATCTTGAGATACTTAACTATGTCTGCAGAGACCCTGTTTCTAAGTACTGTCACCTGTATAGGCACCTAGGCTTAGGACTTGGATATATCTGTTTAGGGGACACAACCCACTAAAGTCACATGCGTATCAGGGGAGAAGGGTAGGAGGCTTGAGGATGAGGGGCCTTGGAGGAGGGGAGGGTGACAAGGGGGAGGAATCAAATAGGAGGGAGGAACCCAGGTGTGTTCCTTGTCTTGGCTGTGTGACCTTGGCAAGCTGCCGTCCCTCTCTGGTCTTTAGATTCTGTATCTGAGGACTTGACAGGGTCCAAGATGATCTCCAAGACCCTACTTGACTTCTACATCCATGATGTGCCTTTAGTGACTCATATAGCAGGGAGGTGACTTATCCATCCATGGCTAGCATTAGGGACTCTTACGGCAGAGAGGTGACTTCTCCATCCATGGCCAGCATTTAGGGACTCTTACAGCAGAGACACGAGTTCTCCATCCATGACCTGCATTTAGGGACTCTGAGATGTAAGGGTACAGAGGTGGGAAGGGAAGGTGGGGAGCCTGGAGGACGGGGACCAGGAAGGAAAGTGAGGATGGGAATCCAGTTGGAGTGAGGAGATCCGGAAGCTGAGGAGAGATTTCCCTGAGGAAGGGTCAGGCAGGAGGAGGATGTGAAGGATTGGACTCAGGCTTGAAACTTCTACTTCCTTGTCATCTCCTCCCCTCCTCCCCTCCTCCCCTCCTCCCTTCCTCCCCACTCAGACCTAATGAAAGGCAGGGAAAGAGGAAGTTCTGCAGCAAAGTGCAGCAGGAGGGACTGGGTCTGGGTGTGCAGATTCCAGGGCTGCGTGGCGCCTGCAGACATGAGGAGTCCTGGGGTGCCTGGTGCTGTTAATGATTGTGGATGCCAGAGAGACTGGGGACTGGGACTGAAATCCTGAGTCTGGGAGAAGGGAGCTGGCAACTCAGACCCCTGGGTCCCAGGGAGGAGGGGCTGGGGGTCTGGATTCCTGGGTCTGAAGGAGGAGGGGCTGGGGGTCTGGACTCCTGGGTCTGAGGGAGGAGGGGCTGGGCCTATAATCCCTGGTGTTTTGGGGAACATTCTGGCTTTGGGTCCCTGTGCTCTATGGGGTCAGCTGTCCAGAGTGATGGGGTGCTGCTCTCCTGTGGGCACCCAGCATCCTGTCCGCCCTCCGTGATTCTGGCTCCCATGTCCTGTCTGCCTTTTCAAAGGTCTGCTTTCTCATGATCTGTCATTTGCGTTTCTCAAAAGCAGAACTCCCTGAGCTACTGCGCACAACCCTCTCAGGGTCCTTCCAGCTCTGCCAGGACCAAGACCTAGGAAAGTGGCAAAACGCCAGGTCCCTCTTCCCTTGCAGACTGGGGTGGCTGGTAGGGATGAGGCGGGGTGGGACTCAGCAGCCTTCATCCTGATTCTGCAGGTTAGACCATCCCTGAGTCTGATTCCCTGTCTGATCCCTCCCCAGGCCCTCTGGATCACAGCAGAGGCCACAACAGCAGGTTAGTGACCCCATCATCCTCCATCCTGAACGTCCAGAGAGACCCTTGGGATTCCCTTCCCTGCACACCGCAGAGCCTTCTCCCCATGTCTTGGCCCCCAAGGCAGACAGAATCCTGAGTGTGGAGGCTCCAGCTCCATCACCCTGAGCTGGACAGCCCTGAGGGCCCAGACCTACAGACCTCCATTCACTGGGTCCAGTGCCATGGGGCAGGCATGGCCGGCAGGAACACAAGCACGTCAGACTGCTGGCTAGTGGTGGAGGGGCTTCAGCCTGGGGCCCTCTACAGCTGTGTGTGGGCCGAGAAGAATAGGTGGCCCCAGGGACGCCTTGAACATGTCTACAGGTAAAAGGGGCCACCTGTCCACTGCCCAGTAACGTTTATGGGCGTGTGTGTGTGTGTCTGTGTGTGTGTGTGCGTGCACATTTGCAGAAAATACCAGGCTGTGCACTTTAGTCTCATTATAAGAACTACAAACAAACTTCATCAAAAGACTCTCCATATTCCTAACCCAGTCCCTAGCCTGGTTGTTCAGGCTCAGACCACCAGCTCCCTCACCCTGAGGCCCCTGCAGGCCCAGACCCCAAGACCTGCACCTCCTGGCTCTGCTGGCCAGTGACTCCTCAGACGCCAGGGTGCCCATGGAGAGTCTGGCTGCAGGGACCCAGTACCACACCATGTGGGCCCGGAAGCATGAGGCCAGCAGCCCCAGCCAGATGCTTACAGAGGCCATGGGCGAGGGGTGACAGCACCCCAGCCTTAGGGAGTAGGAGGCCTCTGGCTTCTGGGCCCCACTGATAGGGTGTATTCCTCCGTAGCAAGCAGGGCTGTGGGGAGGAGGGGTGCTTCCCTTTGCTCTGGAGGCTCACGGACTGTGGGGTGTGGTCTGTGAAGCAGGTTCCCCGTGCACTAGTTAGTAACTTGCTGGAGTCCAGTGAGACGGAGCACCACACACAAAAAGCTACACGAAGTGGGCTTGTTACTCACAGATGGGAAGCAAGGGACAGCAGAAGCCCAGGGTCCATTGTGAGCTGGTCCCCCAAGGCTTAGGAGAGTGACCTAGGGAGGATAGGGTAACAACTGTGTGTGCCTCACTTGTATGGCAGCCTAGGACCTCCAAAATTATCCAATCCTGGGCTTTATACTCTGGGTGAAACATGCGTCACTGGGCTCGAGCATTGAAGGGCATCCTGCTTCTAGGGCAGGCGGGAACGGAGCCCAGGCTGCCTGGCCAGTCCTCCTTATGCATTCCCAGCACATCCTACAGTTATTCTTGAAAACTGCAAGTGAGAGCAGACTGAGTCAGTTTACGGCTACTCAGAGAACCATCCTGCAGGAACCCTGACCCCTTCCCTTCCTTTCCTTGCCTAGCCGGGTAATGGATCTGCGGATACGGGCTCTGACCCTGAGTTCTGTCACGCTAAGGTGTACATTTCCCTGGGCCCAGACCCCTACACCTACTGGGTCCAGTGGGCAGGGACTATGGGACCAGAAATGTGGCAGAGGTGGGGGTCGTTGTGGAGGCCCTCAAATCTGGGACCTCATAAACCTTCATCGTGTGGGCTGAAAGGAATAGTGCTGGAGGTGACAGCTGGACCCTTTGTATGTCTGTGGGTAAGACAGGGCATTGTCTAGCCTGGTTGTGTGTTCTGCCCAGGTCTCCTAGCCAGCTTGAGCTGTGCTCTTGAGGCTCAAACTGACTTGAAACGTCTCTGACTGCTCTACTCTGTTGCTACGGGCATACCTCCCTAGCAGCAACTTTCAGTGGTGCCTAGAGGGCTCACGTACTATGTAGAGAACCTGAAATAGATGCCCCCATTCTGACTTGTATTTTATTTTTTTCTGAGATGGAGTCTCACTCTGTTGCCCAGGCTGGAGTGCAGTGGCGCCATCTCAGCTCACGGCAACCTCTGCCTCCTGGGTTCAAGACTTTCTCCTGCCTCAGCCTCTTGAGTCGCTGGGACTCCAAGCACACACCACCATGCCTGGCTCATTTTTGTATTTTCAGTAGAGATGGGGCTTCACCATGTTGGCCAGGCTGGTCTTGAGCTCCTGACCTCAAGTGATCCGGCCGCTTCAGCCTCCCAAAGTGCTGGGATTACAGGCGTGAGCCACTGTGCACGGCCCATTCTGACTTCTAGTCTCTAATCTGGAGATGGTCACTTGGACTGCCAGCTCCATCACCCTGAAGGGGACAGTGCCCCAGGGCCAGGACCCTCAAGTCCAAACCTACTTTGTGCTACAGGCCCGGGCGGGCATCCTGGAGAACAGCAAGAGCATGCAGGACACCAAAATCACCACTGAGAGGCTGAAAGCCAAGCCCTGCTCCACCTTCTCTGTGTGGGCCAGGTGTGACTGTGCTGACACTCTGTGCACAGGTGAGCTGAGGCTGAGTATGGTGGGAGGTGAGTGGGAGGTGGAGTCAGCATCCCCGTCCCACTCTTCCGGTCTCAGGCATCTAGGGAATAGCGTTTTTTGGGGGGATCCGCTGCTCAAGATGTTGAAAGGCTAATTCTATGCCTTCAGTTCCCAACAAAGTCACAGGTCTGCAGAGCAAAGCTCGTACAAACAGCTCCATCACCCCGAGGTGGAAGGCTGCAAGGGGCTGGGGTTTATCACCCTCCACGACTGGCTTTGGTCATCCAGGGGTGGACACCCCCAAGAGTGCCCACACCAGCACATGAGCGGGACCAGTGTTTCAAAGACAAAGGAAACTCACTATGTGGTGGACAAACTCCACCCTGGCACCTGGTGCCTCTTCAGTGTATGGGCAGAGAGACAGACAGTAGACAGTTCCCCACAGAGCCTCCGGATGTCCACAGGCAAGCTGGGTCATGAGCCAACGTGCTGGACTTGGGTCAAGGTCGGATGTGGAGTTCAGAGCCAGTTGAACTACAAATCCCATCAGTCTGTGGGGCAGGGCCTCCATGAATTATAGCCACATGGGGTCCTCATGCTCATGGGAGTTGTAAGAATTTTTTTTTTTTTCCCCCGGAGACAAAGAGTCTCACTCTGTCCCCAGGCTGGAGTGCAGAAAAGCAATCATGGCTCACTGCAGCCTCAGACTCCCGGGCTCCAGTGATCTTCCTGCCTCAGCTTTTCAAGTAGCTGGGACTACACATGCCTACCACCATGGCCTG